TCGACGTGGCTTAACAGGAAGTGCGTCACGTGTATCACGCAGCTGTGATTCTGAGTGCCGAGCGTAGTTAACAGTGCGTCACACAGCGCCAGCGCAGGTACGAGAATTTGACGAAATCTAAATAGGAAAGAAAGAAGAAACAAATTATCATTAAACTAAAAGTGGTACACATTTTTTTAAACTACAAAATGTTGTGTTCCCTGAACGATGTAGATGTAGTTTGAAAGAGAATAAAAATAGAAAAAGGTGATGTTGTTTTGGGTACTTGGAGCAGATAAATAACTAAATAACGCACCGCATCATAGACCCGCACTAGGGAAACTCTGTATCGCGGATGCCATGGACACACACATAGACCGGCGCAAAGGTGCTATCTGTCGGTTTTTTACAGAATATATTTCGGTGCGTGTGCCCATGCTCCATTAACTCATCCTGCCCGCCCCCTTTTACCATCGGATATCCAAACGTACGGCGGTACGTACATATTCCTTTCAGGCGTACTAAGCGCTATTCATCATCTTTTATTGTGCACACAGCTCAGGAATTCAATGCCCTGCCTGCGACTGTGTTTCCGAGCTCATACAACCCGAATATCTTTAAGATGCGACTGAATAGACATCTTCCGGGCGAGCTCGTTCCATCGTAGATCCTACCTTTGCTCCAGAGCTAGGTCAAGTATCAAGTGGTCAAGCGCAAGTATATTTAAGTTAAAAAAAAAAGGAACCACAAATTACATTCAAACTCCCGAGTACTACAAATATTTCTCCCGGCCCAGGAATCGAACCCGTCCCAGGTATTTAAGTGATTTCCCGAATGCCGAAAAAATCCGGGATAAAAATGTTGTTGTAAGGCAATTCCACTTTCTGTCTCTGTTCTTCGAAGTTTAGGTTTAATTATACTCTACCTTGTAGCGTTGTAAATTAATAATATTTTATTTGTTTTATTTATTGTAAAAAAAAAAATATTTAGAAGAGTCCCGTGTCCAGCAGTGGAACGTATAGTTAGGGATATAGAGCGAGGAATGCGCGCGAGCCATTTCTTATAGGCGACAACTGGTTCAGTTCCCCGTTCCCCTTGCGGGGTATCAGGCAAGCCGCTGTCCCGGTACCGCTTGGACGACAGTAGACTTCGAAATCTATCTTAGCGTGGGACGCACGCGCATTTCCCTAATAATAGCGTTTTCCTATGCGGTCTGCGCGAAGTACATTTTTTTGTGATTTAAAGTAATTAAACCTTTAGTGTTTTTTAACCCATTTGTTTGGTAAGTGTTGAACACGTAACTCTCTTTCGCCTATTATGCTTTCTAGTAACGCTTATTTAAATTGTAAATTGTAGTCGTAACGGTTTTTTTTTATTTTGTAATGTTTGTCTACTTTTGTAATTTGAAATATTTTGTGTAGTTTTGTAATTTCCATGTTAACTCCGTTCTGATTGTGACAATCACGCTACACTGCATACGTAATATGGTGCTTTTCCCACTTCTTTATTCACTGCCGTTGTCACAGTCAAGGGAGCAAACCGTGGACAATTGCTAACTGGACCAACGGGTATTCCAGGGTCCGAGGTTCCCGGTACTTTATTACCATTCGCCGCGTCGGCGTCAGGCCACTGAGCCCAGAGATCGACACCGTACCCCGGACGTCTATTCGGCGGACGGCTGTCAACCTGCACCCCGGAAATCATTTCAACCCCCGCGGAACAGCCAGGGGAGTACCAGCTGCTGGTCGTAGGATGGCAAAAAGTGCAGTGAATAACCATTGGGTTTTAAACGAACCGCGCCCAAATAAATTTGTTTACAAGGGTAGTTCCTTCTTTTATTTAGAACTTCCCCCGCAACAACCTATTCCGACCACTGCTTATAACTAATTAACATGTGGACTTTAACTAAAAAACTTGATAAGAGACTGGAGTCCATACTAAGTAACCTGTGTGTCAGATCTCAAGGCTCCCACCTCCAGAATTATAATATTCAACCTATATTGGCGACATCTTGCCTGTTAGCAACCGATGGCACAAACTCCGTGTCCTGGTGCGTCCCATAGCCTGTATGAATATCAGGGTGGCAGTCCAACGATGTCATACAGGCTAGACACGAAAGCGCCCCTTGCGCGAGTACAGTCTCTGCGCCCATGCGAGTGCCCGAGATCTTGATGAGCAGCGCCATCTTTGACTCGTATACGTAAAGAACTCGTAGGGATTTTGGGTTTGCATCTAATGTCTGGAACAAGAATTTGATCGAAAAATTTAACTTTCCACAAGCTAGCAACTATCATTATAGAACTAACTTAATGCTATAGTTACATTAATATTTAAATCAATAATAACTATTATTTATTACTTAAAAATCACAATAATTCTTTACTGCACAAAGAAAAGACATGAAACAAATGCATGTTCCAAAGGACATATACAAACGTGAGCTTATCTCCAGAAGAGATCTTCCAGCCAACCCTACCCGTGGGACTATTATTATAAAAAAGCACAATATTATAAATTCATTAAAATGTCAATGTAAATATAAATATCAATGATGACAATATAAATACACCTGCATAACTTTACATACACAAATACATACACATACACAAATGTATTACAATCTAAACAAATTATTAGTTAATATTAATGTTACTGGTTAACTTCTGAGTATAACATGAAGTGCCCTTTTAATTCACGTTTGAATGATGCAACCGTTGAATAGAACAATCATAACATACAAATAAAACTATTTTATCGAACTCACACACAGAACAGGCAAATGGATCAATTTTCCCGTTAATAATATCCAAAAATCCTTGACACTTAAAAGATAAAAAAATAAAAATGTAAATCGTTGATACTTCAAAGCAAAAAGACAACCTTTTTAATAACTTTTTCTTTTTAACATTTTTTTGGCAAATAGCAAAACTTACGACATATTGAAAGGGCTTCAAAATTTGATCCAACTATATCAATAATTATTTTCGATAAAATTAGAGCCCACGCCCTTTCTTCCACGAAGTGTCGGTTTCTTTTATTATTTACTACAACAGAAATCAAAAACAAATGACTGTGTAGTCTGCGTTTCCCGAAAACTACAATTTGGGACTATATTGAAGATATTATTCTTAAACAAACGCGTCCATCATCGTGTTACGTCATTACTTAACATCAAATACCGAAAATTGCATCTAAAATCTTTCCTCTCAGATTTTCAAAGGTTAGTCGGAAGAAATCTCTTTATGGGATAAGCTCGCCTTTGTACACAAATATTTAAATCGTTTCTGAAAATTTGTAGTAAAATTACTTTGTGGTACAATAAAGTGTTTAAATAAATAAATTAAATTAAATAATAAAAAATGTAATTCATGGAGGTATGTAACAGTATCTCTGGATAACTTTAAAAACTTAAGGCTTGACAAATCTGTTTATTTCTCGATTCCTCATTTGCATCTGAACGTACCTCCTTAAGTGGCTCATCATCATGGAGCAAGCTATCGATGAGGCTTCGGAGGTAGCCCTGGTTGATGAACGTTGTTATCCAGTCGGTGCGAGGGTAGATTTCAATGAGGGTGTCAAGACACGAGAGCGCCACCATCCTACACACGTCGTGACCACCACCTAATAACATGTTATGACTAAATGACATTGTAAATTTCACCTGTAGTGCGTTTTACGTAAGTTCAAACTATCAAAATATCGTTGAAGTTACGTAGTCGTTCGATCAAAATGGATGGGTATTTCATGTATCACTTGAACGAACGTTGATATGAGTAAAATTTAAAAGTAACTAATGAATGACATCCTGGATTGTGAATTTGACATTTAGTCGTCGAAAGTCTATTGAAAGAACTGTCAAAATTTTAGCAGAATACGTATGACTTGTCGTTTAGAGATGATTAAGTTCGATTCATATACCAGAATACGCTTTAACGACATTTGGATCGAACGACTTTAAAATTGGACTCGTTGACATTCACTGTCACACGTGAATACGAAAAAGCAGTTCAACAACTAAACGGTTTGATTACGTGAATCGCCCCCAATTTTTTTGTTACGATAGTCTGGTCTTTTCAGAAGATGGAATTAAATGACAGTTCATTGCGTAAAAGCGTTGCCCGCTTGCGAGCAGCAGTCGATAAATATTACATCGACTATAGACTGAATATTAGTCATACTCTGCTATAAATAGCACAACTTGTCTCATTTGAATCCTCATCGGCCCGTTATTCGTCCAAATGCTGGACACAGGTTCATTTGAATTGTCAATTTTAGAAGTTCATATATACAAGCACTGAATTTAGAACTATGTTTATTAACAATGCAAGGATAAGACATATTTTAAAGTTTTTCATTTCAATTCAATATAGTTAATCAAATCCGCCTCTTATTAAAATGTATATGAATAAAAATTTATTTCGATACTAGTAGGCCAGCTGTCAAAAAAAGAATAAAAAGGCAGAAACGCAATTAGTAGTCTTTGGAACGTCGTAACATTCCCAAGTCAGACATTTTTGGCTAAATTAAATTTAAATTTTACCTATCTATCGATAAAACTGCCGACAATAACTACACAACTAGTTTAATTTTACTAACACTGGCAACCCTGCAAATGTCATTTTATTCGACCTTCAAAAAAGACAGATTATAATTACTCCTAATAATAATATTCCATACGACAGACGTTCTCAAATCAAATCGAGAAACTTGTATGCGAAGATTGACGAATGTGACACATTATCTCCGATTATCCCAAATGTAAAGGCGTACACGAATGTAATTTAAGAAAAACATGTTACAGTTAGTATAGCTTTCTGATGATCAGTGAATAGACAATCCCTTTTTTCCTTTTTTTTATAATACAAAGAACCGCAAGGAGCAAGTCGTGCGACTGGTAGTAAGCGACACAACTATCCACAACAGTTGCAGTGCCACTAACATCTTTTTTTTACAATATTAAGTGACGGGACAAACAAGTCGTGCGCCTGATGGTAAGAGCTTTAAATCGCAATGGTCTTAGAGGCACTGCCACTGCGCCTGTCACCCTGAGACATAAGTTGACAAGTTCCATGTGCCTATAATTTCACCAACACCCTTACCCTTCCAAATCGGAACGCAGTAATGTGAGCATTACTGCTTGGCGGCAGAAGTAGCTAAGGTGGCAGTACTTCCCTGGACGAACTCTTTCACAAGGAGCTCTACTGCTACTAAACGTTTGCCTTTAGTTTTTTTTATTTGCGAAATATTTTATTATTGTATACAATCACTCACCAATACAGTCTCCGCAGACAATGGAGCAAAGATTGTCCCCGAACCCGCTAATAACGTCTATAACCATACTCTTCAAGGTAGATTCTTCTCTACCAGCAGACCTAGCTTTGGAACTATCCAGTCTGCTAACGTATGTAGCATTCACGTCCTCCTCGGGCTCCGCTGGGCTCGGCTTCAAATTCACTATATTTAAATAATTTAACAAAGCTCCATATAGGTTCACTCTCATTTTCTGAGTACATCCACCTGACACCAAGATCCAGCTCAAAATCTTATGCAGAATAAACTTCAGAGTTAAAGAATTCGTCTGCATGATCTGGTTCGAAGGACCAAAGAACGTGGTCTCGAATTCTGAGGACTTCAAATTCGAGTCCCTCTTCTGGAGTATGTAACAGTGACGTAAATTGACTAGCAGGAGTAATATCGTTCCTGAAGCTAAATTTCCGATTTGCGGAAGAACTTCAGCTGGTGGGATCTTGTTTAGTAGATCTTGTATTATGTTTAGAAGGAGGTTTTTCCTGGATTCCAGGTTGAGGATGTCATGAGGCGCGACGCAGAACAGAATTTCTGTGAGCTGTCGCCACGAATCGTAGTAGTGCGACAGTGTGGCGGCGAGATTCCGCTGGCGGTTTACTTCTGTTACGTAGTCTAAGACCTGGAAGAAGATTGGAGTATTTCTATGAGGTTCTTATGTATTTCTGTGATAAATTCACAGGATTACGTTAGATCAGTAAACTGACTTTTTTAAATTTATTTTATTGATGATATTTTTTTGATATTTTTGAGCGCCCATATTATATATTTTGGAGTAGGAAAGAAACTATTTTTCCGGATTTAAATCGCGTATATTTGTTTTTTTTTTCAAACAAATTTTCGGGCCCTTTACAGGTCCCATTGTCACGGTTGACCTCTAAAGGGCCCGAAAACGTTGGTCTGTTTGATTAAACAAATATACGCGATTTAAATCCGAAAAATAGTTTCATTTCCTATGTGTAACCATCGCGAAAACCTAACAACTCGATATATTTTGGAGTGGTTAAAAAATTAATATAATAATAAATAAATAACGCACACACTCAACATAGCCCCGCACTAGGGAAACCCTGTGTCGCGGGTGCCATGGACACACATATAGACAACCACAAATTACACCCAAACTCACGAGAGAAATAAATGTAGGCCATACAAACATTTCTCCCGGCCCGGGAATCGAACCTGGGACCTCTGCGTGGCAGTCCGGCATGGTAACCGTTCGGCCACGGAGGCAGTTATATATACGAGCCTTTGTACCTAATTATAATTTCTCATAGTAAAGAAATCAAGAGTACAAGAGCAACGGAATCCACGTTGGGGCCCTACACAGATCACCCAGACCAGGCCCTGTACTCTCGTTCACCGTCCCACATCCATCCGAAACAATTACTGTCAAATAATACTCGACAAAATAAAAAGACGCCTGATGCGAATGTAGCTTCATACTTGACAACGTCTTTTACTTTCGTCCAATTAAAAATTTCGGCTTTACTTCCACTTGATTGTTGTCAAGGTAGGCAATTCCTTGTACTGTTGTCGCGAATTATGTCGCGATTTAGTATAAGTTTTGTAATATCAAGCATTAATAAATTTAGTCTGTTATGATACCTAAGAGTAGGGAACTAACACGGCAGTACAGGCATCTCTTATGAAGGTGAGATATCAGGCATCTGTTGGAAGTGCACTGGTTGGTCGGCACTACAGTTGGTAAGTTTGCACAATGTTTATTACTTACGTAGATACAGTATTTGTTGAATAGACAGCCAGAAGATAGAGTATGACGAATCAGTAACAGAATTAGAATGAGATCGCCACTTGTACTGAAGGTACAAGGGGGCATGAAGCGGTGGCAGAGGAAGGGCTGTAGGGGTGTGTGTGGAGGCCCATCATAGGGATCAGAGGATCCCACTAGTTCAGATCCGGAGGATCGATATGAGGTCAAGGACCTGTTAGGACAATTATAGTAGTCCTATGAAGTAGAATGGAGATAGAAGAAGAGTACATGAAGAAAGATACTCTATTTAAAGGTTGTTGTGATAGAAAGAATGTCGCATATGTATTTTACATTATGATTGAACCTTAGGCGTGGCGACTACTGTCAATAACCTGCGACGATGTGACCTCCTTACATCGTCATCCCACCTTTTTATCGCCTTTTCTCCGGTTCCTGGCCACTCGTTTTTAAATTTTGAATTGTTCTTTAATAATTCCTTTGCCTAGCCATTCTGATTTTATTTCGTTCCATTGTCACTCCCTGCTCGATCGCGGCAGCGTACCGTGCTGTTTAAATTTCCGTCTAATTTTGTTTTAATACCGAGTTATAATAGCTACCACTAATCATGTGCTAATTTTGATAACAATTTGTAATAACAACTGCTGATCATGTGCCAATTGTAATACCAATCTGTTATACTCGGCCCTTTTGGGGTAAGTGACTGAACAGTTATGTTATTCCGTAGTAAGGCAGTGTTTTATATTGTTGTATCTGTTTTATATACCTTTTCTTTTCTTTTCTTTACCATCAACTTACAATAAATTACTGTGGACCTGAAGTTTCTTATTTCATTGCCGTGAACCTGGTCACGGCTCATTATGGTTACAACCCTTTCAACCTACACATTTGATTACCCAAACTGGTCCTACGGGGAAGCGAACCCAGGACCTTCTCATGCAGCCCACAGCGCAAATCCCCCCAGTGTCACATGCATGTTAGCAAATAGACCGTATTCCTTTAATATGTACATACACACGTACACTTCACGCCCTTTTCCCATTAGGGTAGGCAGTTAGGTAGGTGTTTGTACTGTCTTTTGATATTTACTCATTTTCTAGTCTGTTAGTAATCCTTTTGAATACCTTCTGTATTTCCATGACGACGAGGTTCCTCTGCGGCGCGGTGGCGTTCAACGCGGCCAGCTCGCGAGCCAACAACGCGTGGACTCGTGACACACTGATGCGCTTTCCTCCCAGTCCTACAAAATGCAGAATCATTCAACTATATTTAAAAAAATGTTGAAAGAAAAAGGTGAACTGTGTGCTCTTACAGTACCGGCACGCTATGATGGCCGTTTTGATAGATTACAATAGTGAGGTCAAATCTCAATTCATTATGGAAAAATAGTTGTTTATGTGACTGTTACTTATTGAAAGGCATCAAAACACAAGTGTGAGTCAAAACACCTCACGAGTGTCTTAATGCCTAATTATGAACAGTTACATACACTGCTTTATCTACACACATATTATAATATAATATATTACAATATATTTGGCATTGTTAATACCTGTAGGCACATCGCAAAGTGCTATGGCGTTCCTCAATTGTTGCGCGTTGAATAGCTCCCACCGCGGCTCGGAGGCCGCCTCCACGGTCACTGGTAAACCTTCCAGGGTCCGCCGTAGCAGACACCATTCCCATTCCTGTTTTCACCATCATCATCAACGTATTATAACGTCCAATTGTCGGCCATGAGTCTCCACGAAGGAGTAAAGCCTACAAAACTATCCCAATCCGAATTAGCCGCCACACGGATTCGAACCGTCGATTATTCAATTGAGAGATAACCATTCTCGTCTACCGTCGCTTTCCTTTCGTCGTGTATTCATAGGTGCATCAATAATGAAAAAAAGGCACTGTTTGACGTTGTCGTGACAATTACTTGGCGCTTTTGGGCATTACTTTTATTTAATCAATGTTTTTTGTAGTGATAATTGGTCAAGCAGTAGTGGAATGGAAGTTTTTCTTTAAAGTAATATTATCTTTTTTTGTATTAGATCAGTTTTCACTAGGATTGCGTGTCTAGGTGTAACGACCGAGCAAAATCTATTTTGAAGAAGCCTATACACGAGCCTGTCTACACCAGTCATTAAAAAAAATCATAAATTGAATACGAGTATGTAAACTGAAAAGTAAAACTGTGCAAGTGAACGTAACTCGTATGTAACCTCGGGATCTTGGATTCCCATATTCTTGAAACTCAAATGATTATAATAATAATAACGCACACACTCAACATAGACCCGCACTAGGAAAACCCTGCGTCGCGGGTGCCATGGACACACACATAGACAACCACAAATTACACATAAAGTCACGAGAGAAATAAATACAGGCCATACAAATATTTCTTCCGAACCTCTGCGCGGCAGTCCGGCATGGTAACCGTTCGGCCACGGAGGCAGTTAATGTTAATGGTTAAACTATAATATCCTATATCTTTACTAAAAATATGTAATAAAAATATCTAAATATGGCACACGTCATCAGGGTGTTTGTAATACTGTTTTGTTTCCGATTTCCATAACACAAGTGATTTAGTTACTTACTTTGGATCAGAGGAATGCATGATGTTGTTTGATATTCATTTATTGTTTTCATAGGGTCAACTATGGTCAAACTTATATCAAAGCTGAAGCAAATTCTTTCGTCTAAATGTTACTATACTACTGATGAATACTTATTACAGTGATAAATATTGAATGAATTATGTTCGGGGTAGTGGTAGTGGTGACCGTTGTTGTTGATCGTGGAATCACGGTTTAAGTTTATAAGTTTTATTGCCCAAAATAGTTAAAATTATGTAATGTTAAATGTTAAGCATGTATGCACCCGATCTACGCGACTTGTGTTCGATTGCAACGAACAAGCTAAGTGAAGTCCCCTCGGTTCCCATAGCCTCGTTCCTCGCCCACGAAGGCGCCGAGGGCCGTCAGCGGTGCTACCTGCGTGGGGTGGTGCGCCGTGTGCGTGAGCGCCGCCACCTGCGCCTGCAGCGCCTGGTGCTGGCGCCCCGCCGCCGCCGCGCCCGCCTCGCACGCGCATGCGCGCACCAGCCACGAGCGCGCCGACACCTGCGCCACCGACGCCGTCTGCGGACAGGGGACACTACTGCCGCTGCTGGCTCACAGCTCTAAATTGCAGCTGATGATCGACCCCTCCTACTCAAGTGTCGTACGTCGAGATTGCCAACTTTCCAGGGGAGCGGTTCAAACTTTTCAATTCACTGAAATGAGCGGAACACGTGACTTTATATCTCACTTTTATTCGGCAAAACTCACACAGAGTATTGTAAATATAGATATCGGTTAGATGAACAACAATTTAACTTAGCATTTCTATGCTAAGTCACGTGTTATACTCATTTCAGTGAATTCAAAACTTAACGCGCCTTTGCAAACTTGGCAATTCCGACATACAACTTACTTCCCTGGACGGACTTTTTAACAAGCTCTACTGCTGCTAAAAAAAATAACAGGCACATGGGACTTGTCAACTTATGTGTCAGGGTGACGGGCGCAGACGCAGTGCCCTTCAAACCTTTTTATACGTAACTGACAAATGACACCACGCCACCTGATATCAAATGGAAAATAAAATCCAAACGTGAAGGAACCTAGCGCAGTGTTGATACAGTTTGGTAGCTGTGAAAGAGTTCGTCCAGGGAAGTGTTGCCACCTTACCTATTTCCGCCGCCAAGCAGTAATGTTAGCTTTACTGTCTTCCGGTTTTGAAGGGTAAGGGTGCTGGTGAAATTACAGGCACATGGGACTTGTCATCTTACGTCTCAGGGGTGACGGGCGCAGTGGCAGTGTCCCTTAGATCTTTACGATTTGAAGCTCTGAGGTGTAGTTTACCATCAGGCGCACAACTTCTTCGTCCCATCACTTGATATTACAAAAAAAAAACAACCACCGCCTAGCCACCGCTATCTCGTCACACAAGATTCACTTCACGTCTCGTTTGAAGGACCATTTGCGGCTTCGAGACTTGCAAAATAGACTTTTCAGCGTTAAATAGCTTAAAAAAAAACTATATGTTCAGTTTTTCCTTTATCCGTCACCAAGTTACCTCCAGATTTATAGTAGCCTTAATATGTCTGCACAGGAAGTAGTCTCTCGATCGCAACAACCGCAGCACGGGCGCAGACGTGTTAGGCCTTGCACACAGCCAGTACAGCAACCGGTAGCAGCTTTCGATTAGGTTGTTTGCCTCTCTGGATGATAACAGAGACTCGGATTCAAACTTCACATCCACAACACAAAGAACAGTCGAATTGAGAACCTCCTCCTTTTTTTTGAAGTCGATTAAAAACTTTTCATTGATATTTGAAATGAATAGACAAGCCATTTGACACTTTTATCAATGAACTTGCTATTGAACATCGTCAGAAAAATTTTGTTGAAATGATTCCGTGTGAAGTGCGACATAACTATTACGTAAACTGTCACCCCTCCCGCACCGCGCATCTACCTCAGGAACTGACTCAGTTAAGCGGTAGGCCTGTAGTGGAGTACTTTCACAAAAAAAATTAATATCATGGTATTCTCGAACTCGCAACGAGAAATCCGCTGGTAATAGGTCCCCGATTCTACGAACATCTACACAAAACCCTGAAAAGTATTATAAACGACGAAGCGTTTAATACTCGACTAAAACTCCTTTTTATTGAATAATAAATTCTACAGTGCCGATGAGTTTATTATATATTACATTTATTTGACTTGACTTCTTTGTATTTGGACAAGCAGTAGTTATACTACTTTCTTTTATATTCATTATTATTGTTTACGTTAGTGACGATTATATTATCCCTTCACATTGTATTTTTAATTGTAATGTTGTGACATTGACAATATGAAATAAATGATATGATTCTATTCTATTCCATCAAAAATATCACGGTATTTAATAAAAATAAAATACCTAGTTTATTGTTTAAATATTTAGATTAGGAATTATATCGATAAAATTTTAGTTATATTAAATTGATTTGTTTTTCTAAGTCCGCCTTAAAGCCTTCGTAATTAAAGTTTTTTATTTCGATGTATAACCTATATTTATATTTAATACCTAATTCAGATATTTGACGGAAATAAACTTTACAAGTCATTATAACGAGTTCTTAGGTTTTCGCCACTGTTACACATAGGAAATGAAACTATTTTTCCGGATATAAATCGCGTATATTTGTTTTTTCAAACAAACCGACGTTTCGGGCCCTTTACAGGTCCCATGGTCACGGTTGACTGTCAACCGTGACCATGGGACCTGAAAATTAGTTTCATTTCCTAAGTTATTATAATACAAACTAAATTTAAGGACAATATGCTACACCCTGCCAGAAACTATGTGATACTATTATTTGCTTGTAATAACTGTATTTATAACCATGGTGTAATAATAAACGATATTATTATTCTATTTTAATCTATTCTATGTGGTATATGGAAAATAAAAAAACAATACGAAAATGGTGAACTAGGAGTACGTTTATTTATTACCTGTCAGTACTATTGTGTCCTGATATGTGCTGGTCCAATATGTCCAAAATAGAGTGCAGGCAGGTTCGCGGGTAGCCCGCCGCCCCGGGCTCGTTCAACGCACTCCGGCTGACATCTTCCCCCAACTGGTAACCCAGGAGGAAGTGCGCCAAGTTCGGCGCAGCGGTTGGTAACACTTGTTGAAGTAACATTATGATGCCTTCCTTGGCTTGCCGGATCGATTTGCTGTCTTCGTCATCGCCCCACTCTTCCGCTTCCAAGCATTCCACAAAGCCGTGTCTGTGGAGGCATTCGATTATGTAAAATAAGAGTAAAACAAAAAAAAACATCTTTTTCTAATCCTGTCAATCATAATTTAATTCAAAAACAAAAGTGCTCTTTTTAGGTCTGAAGCAAAATTCTATTGTCTATGAAATGAAAATTTTTGTAAAAACTTGAGTAACTGAAAAATTTAGTTTTAAAAAAACATGGTTATTTTGCTAATCAAAAGAGTCTCCTTAAATATTGGTTATATCTCATTCAACAAATTTTTAGTAAAAAAAATAATTGTTTAATTATTTACAAAATTAGGTCTTAACATTTAGTACCTATTACTTAATACGGTACTTGACTTTAAGAACTCTAATTTTGCAACGATTGCATAAAATACTATTTGTTCCACACAAAAAGAAATATAAAACAAACAAACGACAAAATTGTATGTATGACAAGCGACCTTATGCAGGCTGCCTCGAGGTGACAACATACACAACACAAGTCTTTAAAATTTTACTTGGAAAATTGCCTAACGTCGAAATAAAACGTAAAGATAAATACGCCTGCCTTTTTTAAATTATTCTATATAGCAATTGAGCATTATTTCAACTTACTTCGCAGTTAAGAATCAGTGGCACGCTCTTTCAATTAACTACAGTATTTATTTGCTTTTACAGGTTAAACCTATTTCATGCTGTATAATTACTACGTAACACTCGCCTGATCTCCGCGGCCAGCGCGTGGCGGTGCGTTACAGCTGGCAACAGATGCCTCGCGGCTGCAGGCGCCTGCAGCGCCCGGCACAGCAGCTGCACGGCGCGGGCCGCCGCAGCCGGCAGGGACGCGCCCAGCTGAACGATCTTGCAGCACGTTACTAGGCGGTCGCTGTTGTCCGGCCCTTCAGGGGCTGTTTGCGTACATGCATTAATCCTTATACGTCCCTCTTCTGGGCACGGGTCCCTTATAAGAAGTCGATCACTTCATTGAGAAGTAATCGTTCTATTCACCGGTGTTTTTATTATATTACATTTGTACTCAAAATGTTTTAACTTACCCAAGATTAGTTTAGAGAGGCCCACTATGAGTACAGAGCGGCCTGCCTCTGTCGCCGCGGCGAGTAAAGCACGTTCCAACGTTAACGCCCTTTCCAGCATCTGTAGTACGCTCACTAAGCTCTGTTCTATGAATTCCTGTTAGTAAGAAGAACAAAAATAAAGAACTAGGACAGAAAGAATATAAGCAAGTTCGTAAGTATACAAATTTGAATGTTTCTTTGTGACAGACCCAAAGATGTTACAAGACTTTGTCAGTGTCAGCTATTTATATGTATATACTTTGATTGTCCGTTGACATAAACTATTTTATCGATTTGACTTAAGCACGACCGATAAAAAAATGGCACCAGCAGCGGCCATTATAGGGACACATTGGGGTGAAATATGGGGTATATGCTACACCATAACCCAGTTTAAGAATATTGGAATTGTTTAATGATATTTCAGTTATGCATATTGCAGTTCCGTTAACTAATTTCAACGTTGTTAAAAGAGAATTTTGGGCAACATCTTTTGCTCAACACCATTTGTCACTTAGCCACGTTTTAATTAGTGAACGGCAGTATTCTATTTTTGAAAGTTCACATAAACCTATCATATGAGCAATAAAATTGTTGTAAATAAAAGAATGTCATGTATAAAACTCGTATAAGATATTCCAGCGAAAACACTGAAACGTGTGTCGAATTTCATTTGATTGTAAATTGAAATGTCATGAACATTTACATATATGTGTTTCTACTTGTATTTTTGTTTATATTTTGATTTATATTTGGCACCTATTACCATGCTATTTTGAGAAAATGAAAATAGTTTATTTGCAAGCAAACACGGTAATGTGGTGGTAACAGTACATAATATTTGGTCTCATAAACAAAAGCGCAACAGCGCCATTTCTGACATGCAAAAATTCTTTACAATATAGCATAGCAATCGTTACAAAACACGTACAATATTATTTTATCATCACTATCCATTAATTTATGTCAATTATGATATAAAATTTAATGTACAAAATTTAATATATTCTTATCATAATAATTTAAATAAATTTGAAAATGAGAAATCCATCAAAACCGTAAAAACAATTATCTAATAGTACTTTATACATATAAAGTACCATTAGACATAATATAAAAAGAAATATAATATCGTGCAAGACAGTCACACGAATTACCCGGTCAAAAACTAGAGACTTTCCTGTACTATGAGTACCAGAGTAACAGAATTCACTATGTAATTTAGTAGCAGTAGAGCTCCTTAAGAAAACGTTCGTTCAGGGAAGTACTGCCACCCTACATACTCGTACTTGGCAATGTTAGTAAAAATGTATAACACAGTAGACAATAATATTAAAGCTGAAGGAAATGTAATTAAATTTAAAAGAATGTCTGTGAAAAATGTACCTTATTCGAACGTGTTTTTTTTTTTCACTTCAGGAATATTTAAATAATTAATTCGAATTTCATTTGCGCCGCGATTTTCATCCCTTTCTTTTAATTTTATTCAATGTTCGTTTTTGGAGTTTTATTTTAATTTTATAATTTATTTAATATGTTTAATTTGCCTAATTTTATTGTATTCAATTATTTTGTAATTCAATTTGTTTTCAGATTTAATATGGTTCATTTTTATTTATTTTTTGCATGTAAATAAATAAATTTAGTTTTTAACATTGCAGCGGACTTGCAGGGTTCATGTTTGGTTCATGACATTTTAATAACTACAAATGTACAACATGATACGCAATAAAGTTTTTGCACTTGACTTATTTCTGCCGCCAAGCAGTAATGTGAGTATTACTGCGTTCCGGTTTGGAAGGATAAGGGTGCTGGTGAAATTACTGGCACATGGGATTTGTCAACTTGTCTCAAAGTGACGGGCTCAATGGTTATTGTAGTAGTGTCGCTTACCACCAGACGCACAACTTGATCGTCCCGTCACTTGGCATTATAGAATTAACTCAGGAATGTTCATTCCCAAATTAATTCTACCGGTAGTCAAACAGCTTGGGTCATCAAGGTCATCAATATTATACATTCATGTTTTGTAGGAATAGCATATAAATAATAAAGAAACTAAATGAAAACAATTACCTTGCCAGGCAAAGACTGGCGGTCAAGCAAGTCATACGCCTCGTCAAGAGTCGTGAGCAACAACCGTAGGAACTCCGACTTCGTGTGCAATTGCAACAGCAGGCGGAAGCCGGGAGGGGGGTTGGAGTCCGCCTCGCGGCCCACTGCTGGGAAGTCGGAGGGTGCCGGCTCGTATTGGTCAAGCCACCGGGCGAACAAGCGGTAGCACAGGGAGAGTACCTGAATGAATAATTGTTTGGTCTTAGACACGACACCAAAGACTTGAAATTGTCAAGCGGGTCTTGCGTAACAATGAGAATAACGCTCGAATAACAAAGTAAGGAAAAGAAACTACATAACACTACCTAACTTAAATTACATGCAGATTATGCTTATGGATGAATATAAAGTAGATATTTACCCCAAAAGAACCTGTATATACGTGTATATATTGTTGCTTTAAGCAGTTAGGTTTACATGATTGAAGGACACGTCTTTTCTCTCCGGGAATTTTGATGGGAGTGATGACGGAACGAAGCAAAGTAAGAATGGCGAAGAAAAAGAATGATTCAAAATTTCAATATGAAAGCGGCCAAGAACTAGAGAAGAGGGTGATAAAAATATCAGGCTCCTGACCAGGAGGGATGACAATGGAAGAGGTCGCATCGTCATAAAACTTACGGGAGGAAAGCAGGAGTCTAGTGGGACAAAGATTGGCGGTTATGAATTCAATTTCAGAATTAAGTGCCGAAAGCGGTCACACCGTAAGTACAACTTTACGGCCCGTATTAACAAACAGCTGTCAAATCCGTTATGAAGTACATATAAGTGTTGTCACTTCTATCTCGATCTCCACCTCAAGTTCTCCTGTGTTAATAGGCTATAAGCATCGGCATCTTAAATGATACTATGATATGATACCAAGACCCTACACTTCATGAATTGGGACTTAAGAACGATCTAGAAGTTTACCTTAAATGCAATGTCATATTTTTTTTATTTTTTTTTATAAGTAACGCACACACTCAACATAGCCCCGCACTAGGGAAACCCTGTGTCGCAGGTGCCATGGACACACACATAGACAACCACAAATTACACCCAAACTCACGAGAGAAATAAATATACGCCATACAAACATTTCTCTGCGTGGCAGTCCGGCATGGTAACCGTTCGGCCACGGAGGCAGTTGATTTGTTTATTAATGCATGAACATCTTGTAAATTCCAAAATAATGAGAAACGTTAATGTGCACTATTTTGATGAATCGATCATACGTCACACTTTTGGGCAGGGGTCTCCTCTAAGGCAGGTTGGCACAATGCTTGCTGGGGACGTTGACTTTAGTCAGATGGATTTACGACACGGATCCACATCAGCTACTCTGAATGCAGAAGTTGTGGTGTGAAAGATGATTTAGTGACCTGAATAGAAAAGGGATGCTTCGATGGTTTGGTCATGTAGAAAGAATAGCTGTTAGTAGATTACAGGAACAAATTTATGGCAATGTAGGGAAAGATAGACCCAACCATTATTATATACCATGCATATACTTCGATGAGATTGTGGATGTCATTGAAAAAAGTCAAATTAAAAGTATCAAGAAAAAAACGGAGACGATAGAGATATGGCAGGAGCTCAGATACTGGTTCATGGTTTCAGCCTATCCCAGTGGAGACATGCGTGATGGGCATTGTTGGGTTTCTTATTAATCTACGGCTTGATTTTAAAACTCCCGCCTCATCGTCTGAGGTCCGCCCATAGAGCTAACCACGCTACGACGTGGCGCCACTGTCTTCTGTCTTCAAAAATCTCGAACAGACGCGCGTACGCAAGAATGAAAAAATCTACATAAAATTAGAAAAAACCTATCAAGAGACCTCAAAAATGTGTTCTTGTGTTGTGCAATTCCATAATCCATGGTTTCCTACTTCTCAAGACATGCTCTGGGCGCGGAATATCCTTGAGTGTTTTTCACTGTAACAAGGCGCTCTTCTGTTTGAAATAATTTGAAATTTAGCTATCAGATGACACAGTTAAGACAACAGCTCCAAAATGTGGTAATAGGTACCTGCCACTTCTCGTAAGGCCTGGCATATGACCGGTGCGGTGACGGCAAGGCGACTCTGTTCAAGGTGTGTTCCACGTAAGGGTCGAGGCCGGGCGGACGCACGCCGGCGCCTAGTGCACGTGGAAGGGGAGCCGCGGCGCACAGCGAGTCCAGGAGGGAGAGGAACGCGCGCGAGAGGGGGTACTCCTCCATTCGACATTCCACCTGGAAAAAACTTGCTTATATTTCTTGCACAGTTGTAAAGTTTCGAAATCAGTGTGACGATTTCATTTTAAAGATATGTTCGAGTTTGAGTTAAATACAACCTAGGTACACGGGACTTGTCAACTTGTCTCAGGGTGACAGGTCCAGTGGCAGTGCCCTTAAGATCTTTTGATTTAAAGCTGTGAGTTGCACTGCAACTGCTATGGACAGGTGTGTCGCTTACCACCACGCGCACGACTTGTTCGTCCCGTCACTTGATATTATAAACAAAACCTGGTAGAACGGAATGGTTGACTCCAATGGTTTTTTTATCATATGTACTTCGCAAATGGCAAATTTGTACTATGATGAAGAATCTCATTATAGATCAAACTCTGAGTTTTCAACGCCATCTAGTAAGAGGTGGACATAGTGTATATGAAAAACGGGGATTTTTATCTCAATATGTGGTAGCACTGATACTCACTTCCTGCAACTCCGCGTACAGTGTTCTCTTTTCTTTGGAGCTGGTGACCAGCTGCGTGGCCTCGAGGCCGGCCCACACGCGGCCGGCTGTGGCCGCCGTGCCGCCCAGTGCCGCCAGCGCAAGGCACAGCTCGCTCTTCAACTGGATCGGGATGTGGCAGCAGATCAGACCTGCACGGGGAACGATTCCGACTGTAGTACGCTCTTTCAAACATTCACAGGGATGAGAAAACATCTGAGAGGCTATGTGAGAGTACTTTTGTGGCTATTTACGAATCACGTTAGCTTTTAGTCTATTCCATCCTATCAAAACAAAACAGGCACAGCTATTGTAAAGTTTTAGGCAAACTTTTTGTTTCTAGGTAAATAAAATAGACTTGCACTTGACCACTACTTTTTTTTCTTTCTTTTTTTACCACTACCTAGCCCTGGAGCCAAAGTAAAATCTACGATGGAACGAGCTCGCCCAGAAGACGCCTATTCAGTCGCACCTTAAAAATACTAATATAACTAAACTAAATAATCGTTGGGTAGTAAAATGTTATTTCAATTAGAAGTTTTTTTATAATAATATCGAGTGACAAGACGAACAAGTCGTGTGCCTGGTGGTAAGCTACGCCTGTCCATAACAATTGCAGTGCCACTCAGAGCGTCAGAGCTTAAAATCGCAAAGATCTGAGGGGCACTGCCACTGCGCCCGTCATCCTGAGACAAGTCGACAAGTCTCACGTGCCTGTAATTTCACCAGCACCCTAACCCTTCAAAACCGGAACACAGTAATGCTGACATAACTGCGTGGCGGTAGAAATAGGTAAGGTGGCAGTACTACTCTGGACGCACTCTTTCACAAGGACCTCTACTGCTACAATGTAAATTAATGTATACAAAAATGTGGAGCATGTGCGCGACAAATAGACCCGTAGCTCAGTTGGTAAGAGCAATACTACTGTACAGTATGGTCGTGGATTCAAGTCCAATCAGATCGAAAAAGTTTTTCTGTGTTCGATCTTTGCATTAATAATCATAATAAAAACTAGTGGAGTTATTTCACAAATTAAAAATGTCAATAATGTATTGCGTTACAATGCTAAAAATCGCGCAATGTTAAGAGACATGAAGTCCCATCGTCGTTTGTTATATTTGACCTTTAAAATTGATTTTAAATGCCTAATTAAGAGCCTCTTTTCTTTAAAACGCTCTATAGTAAAAATTAGTATTTCGGAGTTAATTTTTATTTGATAACAGTGGAAACAAAATGAAGTCTATATTTGTATTAAATGAGTAATGATCTAAAATTTATTTGTATGAGTGACGTGTTTCTGTAATTTTGTATTCTGTATTTCTCATTCTCGTTTTTATTATTATATAATATTTCTAATCTATGTACGTTTTGAAAAACTGTAAGTGCATAGAGTTATGTAAAATAAATAAATAAATAAGGTTCTTTACCACGCGACTACTAACCGAACATGACGTTGACGGCGTCCCACTGCAGGTTCTCGCAGATGTTGTTGGCGGCGGCAGAGTCCTCCCGGGCCACGGCGGCGATAAGCCGCAGGGCGGCGATCATGGCCTCCACCTCCTCCTGGCGCACCAGCAGCTTGCCCGGCCGCGCCGCTGGCGTCACGATGGCCGACGCGCCCAGGGACGACGAGTGCAGGTGGTTGAAGAACGGCGCTGGGTCCGCGCGGAGGTTCCTGTGCAACAACCACTGCTATTTATTTGCTAAGTTTTAAGATTGTTTCATTGATCTAGAGATTTGTCGTTTTTTTTATTTACAGTTGGGTAATTTTCCGAAAATTTTCAATTAGTGGCAATTTTTCCGGAAATTTCCCGAAAAATTTCAGAAATTGAAAAAAATGAAATTTGGAAAAATATAATAATAATAAAATATTATGTTCTATATTCAGAAATATCTTTTGCAGTTTTATTTAACGTGAATTATAAAATAAAACTTGTATAGCCAAAAGCCACTTACAGAAAAACGAGATTTAAAATGATTTCACAACAAAAAAAAAAGGCCTATAAATTGGTTCCGTCCTTTTTGTTTAGTAATTTCTTTTCAACTTTTGACAGGTGTCAACATCAAATCTGGAAAAATATCCGGCAAAACAAGATTTGTTCAAAATGAAAATTTTTCCATGACCCAACACTATTTTTATTTAAAAAATAAGTGTAAGACTAGGGGTTTTTGCAGAGTGTCATATACTCCGGGCTTCTGTGTTAAATAAGATCTCTATAAACTTGGATATAAGGATTGACATGAAATGTTTGACAAAGACGGATGGAGATAGACGAAATTCAATAAGTAATAGGTATTAGGTGCATACAAAATGCTATATAGTTCAAAGTAACAAATTCTGGACTGTTAATATATTTTAAATTTATCCTGTTGGCATAAAGTTCAATACCTATTATTGAAAGTCACGATGTTTTAATTTTATATTGAAATTTAATTCACTGCCATCTAGCAGTCAATAGCTGAAGATAGATAAATATACTCTATTGCTCACACACATAAAAAAAACAAAAACAGTATATAGACAACTTCGAATTAATGTGGGCAAAGGCGGCTTTACCGCTGAAAGCGATCTCTTCTAGACAGCCTTTGAGGCAGAGGAGAACTGAACAGAGAGGGAGACGTGGTGAGCCAATGGTGAAAATTTAAATGCATTATTAAAAACTTACATTATCATATTTTGAAATTTTTATTTTATATAAGTATACTTAATAAAACTTCTACTTTTTTGCTAAATATATAGACTAAGTTGCCGACAAGATCGAGCCCGATGAGTTGTGAGGAGGGCGTTCTCCGGGTTTGTAAAGAAGAACATGCATTCGCGACTTTGTAAAGGCAAACGCGAGCGAGACTCACGCGTGGTAGCGCGCCAGCGCCGTCAGCAGGTGGTGCGCGGACAGCGCGTCGCGGCGCGCCAGCAGCGCCCACGTGTGGCGCGCCACGCTCAGCGCCGCCAGCGCGCGCAGGTACGCCGGCAGCAGCGCCGCGCACACCAGCGACCCCGACAGCCGCACGAACTTGTACAGCGTGGCCGCGCGCCCGCCGGCCCTGCCGGCGTCGTGCACTCGTTCGATCATTTATTCATTTTATACCTCTACCGGCATAAAGGTAAACTGTTTTGTTAGAACAAGTTTGTTTGTATCTGTGAAAATGTTATTATTGCTTCGTAATAACATCGAATATTTCTATTCAAAAACAAAACAAATTGATTTGACCTCAATTCTAATATCAGTATAGATGAAGTTTTATTCGAAATGAAATGTCAAAACTGCCTCTGTGGCCGAACGGTTACCATGCCAGACTGCCATGCAGAGGTCCTGGGTTCACACTCAACATAGCCCCGCACTAGGGAAACCCTGTGTCGCGGCTGCCATGGACACACACATAGACAACCACAAATTACACCCAAACTCACTAGAGAAATAAATGTAGGCCATACACATATTTCTCCCGGCCCGGGAATCGAACCTGAGACGTCTGCGTGGCAGTCCGGCATGGTAACCGTTCGGCCAAGGAGGCAGTTAAATATATAAAAGGATTTTCATTTTTCTTATAATCTATTTCACCGACTAACTCCGTAAACGAAATGATTCGAGAACGACATCTAATCGAACGATTCGGTTAAAATATCGAAGAGTCCTGAATTGGGGTTCTGTATTCATTCCCACCTGACACCCTGATATTTACAAGCTTATTCTTGGTGGGTGCTGTGCTATAGTCAACAAGGAAATGTATTTATATATATGAATCACTGCAGTAACATACACGAACGTCCGTCACTCACTCGACTAGAGCCCATTGAAAACCAGCTTCACAGCCTAGTCTCGGTTGTGACTTTAGCTAAATGCTGTTACACTGTTTTTTTCGTGTTATTTATAATAGTATTTTCTTGTGCCTTATTAACATTGTGTCCTTGCAATATTTGGTTTATATTCTATTCTAATACGTCATTATCGGTGACCTAACACAAAACAAAATTTATTGTCTGTGATAACCATCGAGTATATAACCAGAAATAGAGACGAAATGTCATTTAATTTGTTTGAAAACTATTCTGCCATATCATTACTGTAACAACTGCGCTCCGAGTGGCTAGCCCGAGTTCGAAACAATTGCCGGGTGTCGTCAATAGGTGACGTCAATTGTTTCACTTCAAATCGACCAGTTAACTTGAGCTTTGCTATAATGGACGAAAATTGCAAAATTACATATTTAATTACCGATGACATGTGATTCCGTTTGTTTTGTAATTAGATGTTTTGCTGTTTTTCCCACACCCCCGAATAGAACAGCACGGCATTGTTAGAGATATTATCTCTATTACAATAATTACAGAATATTTTTTGGAATATACGGAGACGTACACACAGGTCAGAAATTGGCCTGTCTATATTTCAGTGCAAACGAGAGTTGATATTTATAAGAGCTGTATCGCTAATGTGTTACCAGGAGTATATTGCCCTTATTTCGTCTCTATTTCTGGTTATATACTCGATGGTGATAACTATAACATTTGGTCGCGATTGTTCAATAAATAAATATTTCACTTTGAAACTACTTTTTCCCTCGACTTCAATACAAAAAGTGACTGAAATGAACATTGACTTTCAAATAAATGGACGACGGGTCTAATACAAAAACCACGAAATATGAAAAATGTCCCAAGTCAACCTATTTAAACGTAGTGACATGTAAAGGAATATGAAAAAGCTAAAACGATGAATTTAAATTGTAATGTCATCGCAGTACTGTCTAATTTTGCTTGCTTCGCTGTCAGTCGAACAAACGAAGACTAGAGCGTGAATGACGCTCTGTATACGATTTTAACGCCCTACAAGTTCGGACACTTTTTTAGCGCGGACCCGACGTCCATATAATTGTAAGTCAATGGAAATGAGGAAACAAAAGTAAACTTAAAAAGTTCAATAGGGAGCAGAAGGGGCGAGTACCTGTAGACGTGCGAGTGCGCGCCGGTGTCGCAGGCGCGCCAGTAGTCGTGGCGCAGGCCCAGCGGGTCGTGCGCGTACAGGCGCTCGACGCAGCGCAGCAGCGCGTCCAGGCGCGTGCGGCTCTGCCCCGCGCCCGCCGGCGGACTCAGCCCCTCCGCCGCGTACATCTGCACCTCGCGCGCCGCCTCGTCCGCCCTGCGTCCACACACCGGACTCGCACGGTTGTCAAACAGATACCGGTACTAAACGAAATTCAATTTTAGGGCAACGGAAATGAAGTACAGTTTAAAGAACAATGGCAAAATCATAGTTCAAAGGCGTCTTCAAATGTCTTAATTACAAGATTGAGTAAATTCATTACATTTTTCAAATTATAATAGCGGCCTATCTAAGTCTGGAAATAAAACCATATTTAAAAGAAACTCTAATGATTAATTAGTATGTAACCGACTGCTATATACAACTATCAGTTTCTTAACGTCGAGCGACATCTAGCCGCCAAAAAAGGAATTTCACTACCTACGTACATATGGTCAACATTTAGTTCAAGTAATATCAGATTGGAACGATTTGTAATAAGCTAATAAAAGATTAACTACTTCTTACAAAAAATAAAGTCGATAATTTCTTTAAAAACTCCTTAAACTGGCAAAAAAATTAGATGGCGCGTTTCACAAAAAAAAATAACTTGTGTCCGAGTTACCAGTGCAATAGTCTGTGGTACAATATTAATTATCTCAGTTATTTAATATGGCTTACCTTCACGCCTTTTGACCATATCCGGATCCAAAATAATTTCCTCTGAACTTTCGTCGCATCACAAACTCACAGCACCATTCTGCTTCTATTAACTCTGTTTAAGGCTTCTGTAGTTTATTTTGATATACCATACACCGAATATATTTTATTCAATTACGTAACACATAACCTCCAAAACTTCAAACTGGAATATCTTTAATTCTTGACTTCTCAGAATAGTAAACACAAAACAAAATTTGTTCAAGAATTTCAACTGTTACTTTGACATATCTTTCCTAAACAGACGCTAAAAAGCATGTTCACAAAAATTTAAATGAGAGTTTGCCATTGTCCTTTGAAGATTGAGTTAGACGCAACTGTTAAAATTTAGAGCAATGTTTCTGTCATCTATTCACTCATACAGGCGCTTTTACTCGTCGTTCTATACGTCATTCAACCACAAATGTTAAATAAGTTAGTCCGTTAATATCAATAAAACTCTCCAAATTTCATTGTTTAATTTTACCAGTATCGTTTAGTAGTGGTACTTCTTTTAACGTGCGATATGTTTGTTCCGTAGATCAATGGATCATATGCCTCTAAATCGGTCCACGGATCGATTCTGAGGCACATGATCCATTATGATCCAAAAAACCGATTCAAAGCAAAAAATCGTGCATTCCTACTCACCTCACCACGAAGATATCTGGAACATACTAGTCTAGCAAAAAAATTAAATTATATTAACTTACTTGACTCTCATCTCCATGAGTTTAGAGTGCATCAAGACAATGAAATCAGTGATGAGCGTGTGAACGCGTCGTTGGTAATACTCTTCCTTTGCAACAAAATCCGTAGACAGAATCGATTCGTCCAAATATTCAAACACCTAGAAAAATAAACACATAAACTGAAATTGCAAGATGTCCGCCATTCTCTTTATTACTGATTTTCTTGTGCAGGCCTACCGCTTAACTGAGTCAGTCCCTGAGGTAGCTGCACGGTGCTGGAGAAGTAACAGTTTACGTAACAGTATGTCGCACTGCACACGGGATAACTTCAACAAAATTTTTCTACCGATATTCAATAGCAAGTCGATTGAAAAAAGAGTCTACCAAATTAATCAATTATTGTCACGTGAAATGATAATAAAAAACTATTTAATTGATAATTAAAAGAAATAGACAAGCTATTTGGCATTTTCTTACTGAATTTCAATGAACTTGTTATTGAACATCGTCAGAAAAATCTTGTTGAAAGTATCCCGTGTGAAGTGGTCATGGAAAAATTTTCATACTGAAAAAATCATATTTTTCCAATACTTTTCCTTTAATTTTCTACACCTGTCAAAAGTTGAAATTACTGAACAAAAACGATGGAGCCAACGACGAGTGGTGGTTGTTGGCGGTTTTTGTCGCTGTTGTGAAATCATTTTAAATCTCGTTTTTCTTTATGTGGATTTTAGGTATACAACTTTATTTTGTAATGGACGCTAAATACAACTTTAAAACATATTTCTAAACGTAGAACATAATAAGAACCTTCGAAATTATATTTTTCCAATCTTTCGGGTTTTTTTTCAGAAAAAATTTTCCACTTTTTGAAATTTTTCGGAACATTACCCAACAGTACTCGATACGCATCGCGCAGCTACCTCAGGAACCGACTCAGTTACGCGGTAGGCCTGTAGTTTAGTTTTTAGATTTCCACGACGGTTGTGTAGCAATTTTTCAGAATTTAAATCGAGTGTTTGTTTTTTCAAACAAACCAACTTTAAAATTATAGTCATGGGTACATAACGCCAAAGCGATTTAAATCTTACGTAAAAAATATAAATGATCTTTATAAATAAAATTACTTGACAAGAGGCGCATAACCTAAAAGTTACCTTGCCATCGATCGCAGCGTCAACAAGCACCTCGTCCTGGTCCAATAGCTCAACTTTCACCTCGCCTCCGACCCCTCCTCTCCTCAATAGCGACTGTGGCGCCCTCTTTAACGCCGCTAACGCCAAGCCTAACGCCAACTGGCACAAAGCTCTGACGCCTGAAGTTTTTTCGCTGTCTTGTATCTGGTTAGGTTGAGGTGTTAATTCGTCGAGTAATACTGATATTAAATCTGAATCTTGGATTAATGGTAACTTTTTAGCTAGTTCTTCGCCATCTTCGCGTCTGCAAAAAAA